ACATTAATTACAAACATTTACTTTATTTTACATTTTCAATTCAATGGCAAAACTAAATATATTTTTCGGTAAATATAAAAGCTTTTCTATACAATTGATATTATTATAAAATTTTTATCCTTTTATGGTAAACACATATGTGGTATTTTATGCCTAAACTTATACACTCTATACAGTATATCCAAACATAGCTTAACTAACTCATCTCCATTATTATTCTTAATATACAAAAACAAAAATTTTAATTTATGGCAAAACATTCATAAAAACAAAGAGTGTGTCTGTATATACAGTATTTATATGTATTTACAGTCATTATGTTAGGCTATAATTCTGTGTCAAAATAGTATTTTCAAATCATTTACAAACTCTCTCTCTCTCTCTCTCTCTCTCTCTCTCTCTCTCACACACACACACACACACACACACACACACACACACATACACACACACATTCACTCAACGCACAACACATGAATAATATTTAGTCTTAACTAATAAGCCGTTTGAAAGTCAAGTTAATAACTTTATTAACAAACTATGAGGACAGTCATGCATATCATATCCTAACCATACAGTTCTACTACTACTACCAGTATGTCTCTCACAAAAATCCCTCTCACTTTTTAACAACTAATAAATGAGTCRATGTCTCATAATTTGATATWTTTATAATAATCTTAATTTTTTGTTAATAATAATAAAACTTTAGGATCTCTTTTTAGATCAAATTTTTTCATTTCATTTATAAACTACATTAAAGTTCAGTACTATTTTCTGCATTAATTATTGTCTCAAATTTCATTCATTAATGAATGCCATTTAATCTACTTTTTAAAAAACTCAAAAACAAAATGATTTTTTTTAAATATTAACTTTATATATATCTTTTAATTAGTCTTTCAGTAACTGAGAAAATAAGACATAAATATATGATATATACATTATATACATACCTTTGGGTATTGAGAGTTGGATTTGATTTTTTCATTTACTTATATAATACTCGCAACGTGTATATCAAATGAATCATATTTATATATTTTTTAATTATATTTTTTTCAAATAACATATAAATACAGTATAACTATAGATCTAATAATAGTAATTTTCACATTTGACATTTGGAGATTATTATATTTTACAGAAATCTATTTTGATTTACTAAACAACTATCAACTAACTATTATTTTTAATTTAATTTCTATGAATTTAATTTATTGTATATTGTTAAAAATAATTAAATAAAAATTCACAATTTTTAATATTATAATTAAAACTATATTTAAATTATTATATAAATCAAGTTGTCAGTTGAATTAATATACACGCACGTATATAAACATCTAAAATTACAGGTATACTATACTATACCGGTAGATAAATGGTGTTGAAACACCTTACACGTGTTGATGCACAGTACGGCATACTTTCAACACGTGTTGCTATAACTAACATTTACGATATTTGGCTTATTATCAAAAATGTCAAAATAAGCCAAAATTGTAAAAATAATATAATCTTATAAATGTTAATAATATAAATGTTAGTACTCTAATTACTATATAATTAAATTAAAATAAAATAGTAAAATATAATTATTACAATTTTAATTAAAAATATATATATATATATTATCTAAAATTTATATGATATATATACTATAATATAATTATTATACTATTTTTAGATATTTTTATCTAAATATCTTAGCAGTTAAATAATTTTATAAAATTGGCAATATATATTTAAAAGCTATTAAATTATGTTTATAAATAAGTATATTTTTATGTTAATGAATAGAAATTTAAATTATCAGTATAATTTATTATAAAATATCTTTTAAATWTATTATGTAAATTTATTACTGTTGAATACTTTATATTCACATAAACAAATAATTAGCATAAATTTTAAAATTTTGTTGACATATTGTGGGCAATATTTTTTTGCCATTTATTAACAGATAATTCAATAAATGACTTGTTTTTGCAATATATTGTTTACTAAATGTTAAGGAAATGTTGTTAAAAATAGTTACAAAACAAAAAACTATACTATAGTTTAAAAAGACATAAATGCCAGTTGAGAGTGACAATGAATTTAGTAGACATTTGGTTGAACCCAGTGTTTCAAAAACCCATACAAAAATAGACTGCAAATTGCATTTACAAAGTGATTCGTAAAGACATTATATCGGATCCCCTCAACAAAAAAATATATTACCGATAGTTATGTAAAAAATCTTTATGTAAAATCTCAGCCATCAATCCTCTCTCTCTCTCTCTCTCTCTCTCTCTCTCTCTCTCTCTCTCTCTCTCTCTCTCTCTCTCTCTCTCTCTCCTCTCTCATACACTCACTTACTCTAACTATTATTGTATATATTATTTTAGTCAAATAAAATGCGTGAATATGTTTTTGTTAGCGACTGGACTTTCAAAAAAATCTCATATATACACATATATCTAGTCGTAGTATATAATGTAAAGCAATTTAGGTCAAGTGTTTGGATGGGGTAGTAATGTRTTTAAAATACAAAATAAATATAATATCCATATTACCGGGCTTTATAAATAATGTCTAAAACATTATTTAAAAAGATATGTATCCATATATTAKTTATATTGAATTTGTTATATATTATATGTACTGTATATAAAAATGTTTTAGTATAATATTTTTTTTATTTAAGCGATTGGACAACAAAAAGATTTTTTTTGTATAAAATAAATATCAATTACAGGTTAAACTATTATATTTTTATATAACATATATATATATATATATATATATATATATATATTGAACAGCATAAAGCAAATTGTATRTATAAATAGTATTATGTGTGATATAAAATATATTATTATTATATACATTKAGCGTATCAATAGATAGAGAAAGAGAGCAAAATGTATGATCTTTTAGTTTTTAGGTAATGCACCCAAAGGATAGTTAGGTTTTGTAATACATCTGTATATAAGAACACCTGGAGTTTCATCAAAATAAATGGATTTAAGCGGACATACAGTACAGTGTGTCGTGTCGTGCATCAGAGCATTCCATTAATTATATGGCTGGAGAACCGTCAGGTTATACTGTCGATCCCCATATATATGATAGAAGCCAACATATGGAGACCATACCGGTGCTCAATGTTATAGATTATATTAAATACAATAATAACACTATAATAATAAATATAAAAGTTTATATTATTTAGTCGATGATCGTCAACGATTAAAAGGTGCAATTAACTCAGTACTAAATGTCCATGGCCAATACCAGTGCCAACAAATAATGCTACATAAGCCATGTCTATTCAAGCGTTACATTAAAAGCCGATTATTAAAAGGCACACACATATAGTATATTATTATTCATCGATGGAGTGATGCCCTATGTTATGATGATAATGATGATGCACCTGAGCTCCCGGCCCACCATAAATAGATAATAGTGCACATCACTAGTATTGAACACTTTAGTGTGTGTGTGTGTGTGTTATACAAGTGAAACAATCTGCTCCTCAATAGTAGCAATACTCGTAATAAACTATTTCAATAATAGACTGTAGTATATACTCTATATATATGATTAGATATTTTGTAACCATAAGCTTATCAAAATGTATGATATATACAGTAGTATATCATCATATTTTTCATATCTATATCTATTGGCATATATTAGAGACAATTTTATACCCCTATTATATAATATCATCGATGATAAACAATGCCATATGAACGACACGTACCAATAATTATTATTCATTAGATGAATATTAGTACTATAAAAATGTATATAATTTATACTAAAATTACAAAATATACTGTATATTGTGTAATACTGTTATTTATTATTATTATTTAAATAAATTGATGTGTCATAGCGTTTAGCGTTAATGGATAGCCACTAGAAAAATTGACTTCAAAATAATAATAATAATAAAAAAATTCATATCAATTGTATTAAAAAACAATTSAATCGTTACTAATTTTTTWCATTCATTCAAAATTATGGTCCACTCATTGCAATCAATCATAGAGTAATAATATGTAATACTGTAATATAAAGCAAATATATATTTTTTGGCATCACTTAACACATTATGGCATCGGTTTTTATTTAAATATAGTTATTTTTAAACAATAAGTTTTTTGTGTTGTTTAATAAGTTAAGTAATCTCTTTATTGGTATAAAAATATCATTTGGTAACAAATGCAATAAATTCAAAAAAGTGTATTTTTAAATATTTATCATTAATACTGTCGTCAATACTGTAGAGGTTTTTTTTTATTWAAAAAAGCCAACAATAATACAAATACCCAAAAGTAACAACAAGAAAAAAACTATACAAAAAAATATTTAAACTAAAATATGTGTCTTTAGTAGTAGTAGTCTTGTAGATGAAATGTCTGGCAGTTAGCCATACTTTTTTGCGACGACATAAGAGACATATCAGACATACATATATATATATATATAAAAGTGAGGGAAAAAACGGGTATCAATTTTTTAGGAGAAAAGTTTGCTAAATTGGGAGAGTATAGCATAGGCCTAAAACATCTCAACACATGCATCAAAACCCACATTTCCCTTCCCAGCCCTAACCATCCCCTACTACTCCCTGTGTTTCTCAATTTAGAGCACAAAGTAATGAAATGAAGTCTTTTTTTGTGAGAAAATTAGTCGTTATATTAAGTTTTTTATTATAAACTGTTGAACATAACAGCAACTAATAGTTTTTTTCAGTCAACATATTGTAATAATAATAATAATAATCAACAAATATATGAAAGTTTTGTAATTATATTAGAGTTGAAAAATACTTTAATGTTTCCAAAATTAATAAGCAGTTATTTGAATTAATTTTGACTATAAATAGCATAACTAAACTAAACAAAAAAGTTAATTTAAGTTTTGTTAACTAAACATAGTTATATATAAACTTTATATAAATTTATATACAGTATATATACTTGAATTTTAACTGTTACTTAACGACTAATTTGTTGTGTTAGTTGTGATTCATTGCACCGAAAATACAGTGAAAAAGGTATTTTGAAAATTAAATTTTTGCTATACTATATATGATGTATATTTATTTAATTATAAATTAATTTTTGTTAATATAATATTATAAAATGTTTGGCTAAAAACAAGTGACAGATTCATTCATTTATTTTTAATGTAATTTGAATTAAATATAATAATAAAAATAAAATAATAAATAAATGAATGAATTCTTGAGTTTGAGTGTTGCCTTGGATTTTGAAGAGATGTCTAAAAAAAGTTTTTATATATCATATATGCTATGGATTTGCGTCGACTCTTAATGATTATATTATAAGCAAATCATTATTACATATTATTATATAACACATCGTTTTGTTTGGCGTTAAACTGATTTTAATGAGTCGTTGTGTTCGTTATATTTTTTGATTAATTAATTACTACTTTATATGGTATTAAATCACTAGAGTCTGAGACATGCCAGCCGTCTCTCCGACATTGTTAGCGGTGCTCACCATTGGAGTGGTGGCACTCATATTGGGTATACTTATCGGTAAGAGATTAACACATATTTTTACAGATAAACTAATACATAAGTATCACATAATTATTACATACATAGAAAAGTAATAGTAGTAGTAGTGAAAGTCATAAACCAATACATCACACATAACATTACTGTATATAATATATATAAATGCCACCGAAAAATAAAATATCGGCTAAAATATGTAAAACATTTTTTTCTACATATAATAAATGGTTTTGTTTATAATAAATGACAAAATTTGAGTTTATTTTCTTCGGGGGTTAGACTCAAAAATAAATATTTTTCTCTTTTAAACCATTTATTTCAATCATATGAATATTAAATTTGAAAACATTAGAACAACAAATTATTTACCAAAAAAACCATCAATTTATAACCTAAAAATTTTTGGCATTTAAAGTGTTAAATAAAATTTAATTTTACAGAGAATATACTATAAATTTATATATGTAAATTTTGTGTAGAATAACTATCATATAAAAACATAATTATAACCCCACACACTGTTTATAAATTTAAATGTAATTTTTTTGAGAGTAAAATTTTTTTTTCCGATAATTAGATAAATGATGTGCAATACAAATAATACTTTACTGGATATTTTTTAAATAATTTTCTAATTTTTTTATGCATACATTTTTTTCAAGGCTCCTATACTATAGCGCCGATGACTAATGACAACAAAGCCAAACTAGATTTGCTAAAAGGCTTCTCCGAAAATCGCTATACCGGTGCTGACGACCAAATCATTAGACATATTATTGAAGGCGCGGACAGCGAGAAGCTTAGAGATAACCTAAAGTGGGCAAACAATTTAATATTAATTACATACATAGATATCTATATTTGTACCAATAGTTTTAGATAATATTGTAATCGCATCATTAACTTCAATAATTTGTTCATTAATATCCATATAAAAACACATTTAACTATAGATTTCTATCATCTGAACCACATTTAGTGGGAACTGTTAGAGACAAACAGTTAGCCGAAATAATTAGGGATCGTTTCTTAGAGTATGGTCTCGATCGGGCATATCTGGTGCCATATAATGTACTCCTTTCATATCCTAACGCCTCGCAGCCAAACAAAGTGTATCTGATTGATGGCAAAAACAGTATATTATTTGAGTCCCAACACAGAGAGATGCCTATGAGAGACGGGGAAATGGATACAAACTTTGTCGACTCTTATAACAGCTTCGCCCCCAAAGCAGATGTCATCGGAGATCCAGTATTTTGTAATTATGGCCGACAATCGGATTTTGATTTATTACACAAATACGGTATCGATTTAAATGGCAAGATATGTATCATTAGATACGGAAAGATATTTAGGGGCAATAAAGTAAACATCTCTTTATTTATTATTATCATAATCACTGATACTATGATATTATTGATATTTTTATCGATATTTATATTTATAACATATTTTGATATAAATCTTTCATTCAATGATAAATTATTTAAGATAAAAATTAACCGATTATTTAGTTATTTAGCTATCATACAAGTTAGATAAGTTAGTAACAATATAATTACAGTATACAATACATAACTTGAACTGTACAGTAGTATTTGATGGTGTTATTTATGTGTGTGCATGTATTTGACATACCAGTGCGAAAATGCRGCTCAAAGAGGATGTCTAGGAGTGATACTATACTCTGATCCTCTTGAGATGGCAAGAGAGGGAACAGAACAACAGGATCTTTATCCCAATAGTTGGTGGATGAATGGCAAAGCTATGCAAAGGGGAAACCTCAGGACTGGTATGGTATGTATTATTATATCAATGACAGTGTCTGTGTGTTTGGCTATAAATCCCTTAATAAATACATTTATACCCAAATTAAAGGGCGATGCGCTGACCCAAGGATTCCCAGCATTAGTCGGTTAGTACTATACTGTATATTACTGTTATTTATTATTAACATTTAATCTCTTAAAAATGTGTTATAACTTATATATAAGTTTTAATTAATACAATATATCATCCAATATATATGTGTTATTATGTGGTGTTCAATCAGACGGTGCATTCCAGTATCAACTCAATGACATAAATCTGCCTAAAATACCGGCCCAACCAATTGGTTACGACGATGCACTGGCTATTATGAGGTACAATACACATACAGTATAATATCTTTTACTTTTACTCTCTACTGGTGTCTAAAAATGTCTACACGTGTTGATTGATTGTTTCAATTAAATGTCAAATACATTGGTGTTGTGTATTGTTTTCTGATTTTATGGTTGTCTTTTTTTTGTTAAATTTGTTTTATGTCTACTACCAGATTAATGAGTGGCATACCTGTGCCCACCACCAGTGAGTTTCTCGACTGGAAAGGCGGACTTAACATAACATACAGATTGGGGCCGGGATTTAGAGAACAGGGAGGCAAAGTGTATGTCTATTTAATTAAAAATAAATTATTTGAGAGTTAATCGTATCAAGAATGTAGTGCACAATAATAAAAGCTTATTATATTACATAACAATAAAAAATCACATATTTTTGTCTAATTATTGTTTGATTTGTGCAAAAATAATTCACAGACTGTTACGGCTTGTCGTTAATAATGTATTGCAACAAAAGATTATCTATAATGTCATCGGAATTCTAGACGGATCGGTAGAGGCGGACCGTTATGTCATTGTTGGTAATCATAGGGATGCCTGGGGTTACGGTGCTATCGACGCCTCCACCGGTACGGCAGCTATGCTCGAAACAAGCCGTCTGTTCGGGTCGTATCGGCGACAGTATGATTGGCGACCGCGTAGGACACTGGTGTTTGCCAGTTGGACGGGCGAGGAGTTGGGTCTCATCGGGTCTACCGAATGGGTTGAACAGCATTTGAATCTGTTGTCACAAAAGGCTGTCGCTTATATCAATGTCGACTATTGTGTGAAAGGCCCACATCTGAGTCCTGACGCTTCTCCCTCTTTAATGGAAATCATACGCGAAATCACTGAATATATTCCGTATGGAAACCAAACACTTTTGGACGCTTGGGTTCAATACCAGACACATATTTACGGACAGTTAGATGAGCCAAAGTATGTGTAGTTTACACAAAGCTGTTTAGTAGTATTTCAGTAGTAGTAGTAAAAAGGGTGTTATGTTTCAAATGTGACAAATGTTTTTCCAAAATGCCATTATTTATTTAAATTAATAACATTTTGCATACAGAATCCCGACATTGGGCTCCGGTACCGATCACGCCCCGTTCGCATTCCTGGCAGGCATTCCTGCAATCAATATTGAGTTTACATTTGATAAGGTATTGTATTATATTAGTTGTATTTATAATATAACAAATACTTCAATGTGTTTGTGATTTATTAATTCACCCAAAAATGATACCCAAAACTCTTTCAGCAATTCATTTGACAATACAATACATAATAGCATATAATATATATTATACTGTATATGTATCATATGAGTCATACCATCTCCATAACCCATCCATAAAACCATTCATAAAATTAATAATAAAACTGTATATTAATTACTATTTGCATTAACACAAAGTCACTAAATTACTATTTTCTTTTGTATATAAAAATTATTATCTCTATATTTTAATTAACATTTTCAAAATGGGTAAATGTTTGGTAATTAAATGTTGTTATTTTTAAAAAATTATCTATACAATCTCATTTTGATTATATTCAAATATTCATCATCTAACTTTTTATATATTAACTATCATAACAAAACAATAACTTTTTTTTATCTATTATATTGTTTTTGTATTTATTAATAAAACATAACTCATTATTATACAATAGTTCCTCCTTTTTTTGTTTGATAACAAAAACTCAATAAAAAAAGTCAATTGATTAACAATTATATACAACTTTTCAAACTATGCATCAGTTAATTTATACACAAATTAAGATAATTAGATGTGATAATAATAATAATAACATTGTATTTTTTCATATAGAAAAAATACCCGATATCGGGTTACCCGGCATATCATACGGGATAYGAAACATTTTATTTGGTCGAAAAATTTATTGATCCCGACTTTCAAATACATAAAACCTGTTCCCAATTGATCGGTGCGCTAATGCATGCAATCGCTGGTTCAACACTCATACCCTACAGAATCGATGAGTTGGCCCATAGGGTGCTCATTGATTACCAAACAATTTGGAGAACTAATAACAACAATAATAATCAAAACAACGATCAACAAAATCAATACCAATTTATATTGAGAAGTGAGTTAAGCACCGCTGAAAATAAGCCACTGATTGATATGTTGGAGCAATCGTTGGCTGATTTTGTTAAGGCAGCCAAAGATTGGCGACAACAGCTAATGGGTTTAGACTTAAATAATCCGTTTCTTGTGCGCCAAATGAACGATATGSTGATGTCAGTGGAGCGCACCTTCATTAAGCCAGACGGTCTACACGAGAGGCCAGAGATCAGGAATATGCTGTTCGCACCATTTAAATACAATAAATACTCGACAGTAGTATTCCCCGGTATGTTGGATCTGATGATGAAAATATCTGAACAACACAAAACGGATCCATCAAAAGTGCCGCAATTGTGGCTATTATTTCGTCGGCACGTCTCTGACGTTGCCATCGCACTGAAGAGCGCCACCAACTTATTGAATACTAGACCGCTATAAGTGGTTGTGTTTGTGTTATATATATATATATATATATATTTAGACAATTGATTTATATGTGACTTTCCGGGTGTGGACTTACTCTACAAGTTATTCTAGTAGTGACAACAACACAACTTTAGTGTATAAATTCATTATTATATAACTAACTGATTGTATTGTATGATCGCATCTTTTTTTCTCCCTCTCGACGACTCATTTATAGACAAACAAACAACTCATTTATAATAAATAATTTAATTTTCTATTTAAAAAAAAYATTTCATTATATTTCAAATAAAAATTATTGTAGTTTATAATAATAGGGCTAAGCTAAACATTTTTTTTGTAAAAATATTAATTCATTATTACATTACGTATTGTTATATAATATTTTTTCTGTGAATATTCTATAATATTTATAGTAAATGTTTTTTAAAAAAATTGATAATAAAAACCATAGCATTAGTTATGTGATTACTCATTTGGATGATAACATTAATAGATATATGATATATATATTTTAATGGTTTATGAATTGTATGTAATTTTAAGATTTATTTTTAATGGGAAGATTACAAAGAAAATGTTGCTATTATTAGATAACAATTTTATATTACAATAAAAATACAATATTATATAATAAAAATTTTGAAGAGAAAAAGAGATACATTAATCAGTTTTTAATGCCCATCACTAAGCATTTGGTTTAATAAAAAAGTTGTTTAATTATATGACACGTGTCTGATTGTACTAATGATGTCGTGACCGGATCTGCACAGCCATAGCAGCACTGGTAGGTTAGGTGCTGTACAGTACGTACTTTGAAAGCTATGGGTGCACTCAAAACATCAGTACAATAGGAGCAGTACTCTACTGGTAATCATATTTCGAGAGATGTCATTCATTATAAATCAAAATTATTATCGTATTAATAGTATTAATATCATTATTGTTGGCATAAATATATATATCCTCAATATTTTTATGGTTAGTTCCCAACAAACGATTAATAAAAATATTTGCATATAAATTTTCGAGCCATTAGTCGATCCCTCGTTACGATAAACCATTAGGTAAGTGTCAGTATAGCACAGGGATATATAGTATAGATAGTACAGTATATACCAAAAGGAGTAGCAGTATTGCAATTGTTAGCATAGTTGGCAATAAAAAGTGAAAAATGTATTTTTAACCGATCGATACTAATTAGTATTACATTATGTTATATAAAACAATTCATTACTTTTAATTCATTTATTCATTTTCATGGGTTAACGCTGTGATCCGTTAATTTGCAATTAGAGAGAAAGAGAGAGATTGTTAGCCCGCAAACAAATAATAACATTATTAATAATAATAAAATTGTTATTTGATAAAAAGTAAGTTTAGACAGTATAAAAACTAAAAACAAAATAAATTATACATCAAAGTTTAAAACTATATTGAAAATAAACTATTTTTTATTGTTTCACATGTCAACAGTATATACAGTATATATGATATAAAGGACACTCTAATTGTAGTTTCATTAATCTCCTTAAAAAAGTGCCGTTAGTTTTTTGCACGACTAATGGAGAGATCGCAACTCTCCAAACAACTGTTAAAATTTATAGGCAATAAAATAGTTGGATAGTCGTAGTGGAAAACAACAACAAAATAAATTATCTCATAGTATATGTACTGATATAACTCAATATTTTAGTTTTCAAAAGTTTTTTTTCAAATATACACACATAATATTATATATATAATACGGTATATAAAAATGTTTGAAAATATTTTATTTTGTGTGACAATAAAACAAAGCAATTGATATATAGAAAATAAAAAGATCGTGAAATCTTTCCCAATGGATTTTAATAGCATACTATGATTTTTTTTACAATTGCCTCAAAAAAGTCAAAATGAAATTGAAAGCCAAATGTCATTCACAACAACAAAAATTGGTGCACCAGTTGGTGGTAGTGGTGGCAGTGGTAGCTATGATGCCAACACCTCTTATTAAATTGAAAGCACGTCAATGACGCCGATGGGAGTCATTTAAAAAATTTTTAAAAAGATATGATGAACCAATTTGGTGTCATTTAGTTAAAATCACTTTTAAAAATTAGTGATACAAAAAAAAGATTTCTCTCACAATTTTATTTCTATTATACAATATATGTTTGATGTTTGATGAGAAAAAAGATTTTATTATTTTTTTTTTGATTTTATTTCTAACAATAAGAGTTTATTATTATCATAGTTCTCATATTCCAGTGTTAGATATATTTATATACTATAACTCATATATTTAATATAATGTAACAATTGGACGAATAAATAGCAAAATAATAGTGTATATAATTGTGAATCAATGAGTTTGTGTCAATGTTTATGGGGGTAATAGTAATACAATACAATATATTATGAAATATTGTTACTATTCTGGGTCTCCGAGAAGGCAGGTCTCGGGTCTTTCTGTCTCTCATTTTTTTTTGACTGACGTTTGCACAATGCGTTTTTGGAATGGGATATGCATTTGATTCATAACCAAAAAATATTATTAAGTGAAGTACAGTATATTTACTGTTAACCTACCAGTCCTTATACAATATCATAACCAACTAACTCACTCCACTGTCTCACTCTTGTCAGTTGTCAATATATATTTTGAGAGACAAGTTTTGATGTTATGGGAAAAATGTGAAACTTTTTTATTATTATTATTATCTCTTTTGATGGCCAATACAACAGTCAATATAACAAGTGTGTAGTTGTTTTTTATATATGTATCATATAACTAACCTCAATATTAAGTGTATCAATAAAAAAAGTATTTTGTTAAAAGTTATTGCGGGTAATAATAATAATAATATATTGGCCGACAAGTCATTGGAGCGGTGCTCAGGCATTACTACTGTAGTAGTGGTACTGGCATTACAAGCCGTGTGTATGTGTGCTGCTATTAACCACAATRGATATATTGAAAGCAAATAAATAAATATAAAATTGTGTTTACAATTGCAGTCAAAAAGTAAATGCTGTTTATAACGACTATTGCTTTTGAACGAAAATGACATCAACAGTTGGTCTCACTGTCTGATTGTCGCACATTTAGCTATYAAAAGATATTGAAAGAGAAAATTAGGATTTTGAAGGAAAGGGATCTCTCTCTCTCTTTCTCTCTCTTTGCTTGTATGTATGCTTTTTGTGTAGTGAACACACAGATTAATGCAAACAACACACCCGTCACCCGTAGAGCACACCATTACATACATACAACTCACTAACTCACGTTAGTTGAACATTAAAGGCCTAACTCTACGACTCTATGACTACTAGTGATCTTTCTACTGATTTTTTGTATATATATATATAATACTAATATATTGTATGAGTAAAAAACGAGGAAAACTTTGTAAATTTGGGGTTAATTTGTTTAATAGTGTGAAAAAATGTTTGATTACTATATGAAATGAGTCAAATACATAATGTAATCCGAGAATTGGATTCAATCCATTGAATTAGCTTTTTTGATAGGCTTTGATAAAGTTTTTTTTAAAAATATATATATATATATATTTCCAGTGCACTGGTAGGTATCGAAACACTAGTAAGTCTCACGCCACGAGCAAATCATAACAACTGTTTAAGATTGGAGAGAGAGACAAGAGATTTAGTATTTGTTTAGGAAAGCATGAAATTCCCCGATGAGAGGGTTGTCTGAGTTTCAAAAGCTTTCAAATTTTGCATAAATTCAATGACAAAGTTTGTCATACATTTTATAATATATATATATATATATATATTGATATCAATGATGAAGAGATGATGATGTGTGACGTAAAAATGGACCCAAAAATTGTTACATTTACTAAATTTGACTAAACATATAATATACATAAAAACATATAACCCATTCCCCTGAGACACACACACACACACACACACACACACAGAGAGAGAGAGAGAGAGAGAGAGAGAGAGAGAGAGAGAGAGATGCTGTTTCTTCACCCTTACATTTGACGGCACTTTTGGTGTAAAACATTTAAATTTATAATAAACGGCTCAATAAAATAAATTTCATTCAATATTGTTATAGTCAGTCAGTCAGTCAGTCAGCGGTCTATTTGGCGAAACAACAAAATATAATGCATTCGCCACTAATAGTATTAAACGGATAACTGATTATTGCCTTTTGGCACTATTATAATATTGCAACCAAACTATACATTGTATATAACTGTGCCCTGAAAACCCATTGGTGAGCTAACACATTAACTCACCGGATATTTAATATTGGAAAGTGGTGTTTGCTGCCACACATTTGCCGGTACACTACTAAAACTATTATTATTATTAGTATTATGGGTTGTCATCAGTAAAWCTATTCAATTGAAAATCACTGAACAGGTTATATATACTTAGGGTTAGTATAGTTAGCTATATTGAAGTCCCATTGCTTTTTTAGTGACACTGAAGTCATCACCAAATATGCGATTAATTGTAGAAATCGGGTCTAAATTTTTTTTTATATAAACGGCGTGTCATTTATTTTATGTCATTATAACAGCCATTATATGTTTGTGTAATTCAAATGATTCATTTAAATGAGTTTTTTGAGTACTTGAAACCCATTTTATTATAAAAGATAAAGTTTAGGGGTTTTCGGGCCCACATTATAGCCTAAAGTAAAAAGAGTTACAATAGTTTTATTGGGATATCACTCACTATCTCAATCTCCTCATCCTTCTAATGGTTGGTTGCTTTTTGGAGATAAAGTATTTGCTGCTGTTTTGCATAACACCAGTGCTCAGCAATTGTGCTAAAAGGCTGACAAATGGCCAAAACGGTCGTTCAAAGAGAGAGAGAGAGAGAGAGAGAAAGAAAAAAATAGATATAAATATTAGGATTTTAAAGTGATATACTATTTTGATAAGTTTGCCAATAAATCAGAGACAACATTACAAAACAAAATCTAATATAACTGTTAAAGTGTGAAAATTTTGCTCACATTTGTGCCCACATTTTTAGCC